GTGCACTAGATGGGCAATGATGAGACAATCCCCAAAACAGGAATGGTTTTACAGGTTGAGGCCACTGACATTTTTTTCCCAACTCATCTTTTCTGACAGTTTTTCACTTGTTTTACATTTGGTTAGGGTCAGTGTCACTACTGGTAGCATGAGGCCATACCTGGACCCTACAGAGGTTGCACAGGCAGTCCAACTCCTCCAGGATGGCACATCAATACGTGTCATTGCCAGAAGGTTTGCTGTGTCTCCCAGCACAGTCTCAAGAGCATGGAGGAGATTCCAGGAGACAGGCAGTTACTCTAGGAGAGCTGTACAGAAGGTCCTTAACCCATCAGCAGGACCGGTATCTGCTCCTTTGTGCAAGGAGTAACAGGATGAGCCCTGCCAGAGCCCTACAAAATGACCTCCAGCAGGCCACTGGTGTGAATGTCTCTGACCAAACAATCAGTTAACAGACTCCATGAGGGTGGCCTGAGGGCCTGATATCCTCTAGTGGGCCCTGTGCTCACTGCCCGGCACCATAGAGCTCAATTGGCATTTTCCATTGAACACCAGAATTGGCAGGTCCACCACTGGTGCCCTGTGCTTTTCACAGATGAGAGCAGGTTCACCCTGAGGATTTCCTCCCAGATCTGCCCTGGTCCAGATCTGGGAGGAAATCCCCCAGGACACCATCCGTAGTCTCATTAGGAGCCTCCCCCAACGTTGTCAGGCATGCATACAAGCATGTGGGAGCCATACAAACTACAGAGGACATTCTGAGTTGCTGCAATGACATTTCAGCAAAATGGACTAGACTGCCCCATAATTTTTTCACTTTGATTTTCGGGGGTGTCTTAGAATTCAGTCCTCTGTAGGTCGATTATTCTCATTTCCATTAAACGATGGGGCATCCTTACGTTCCTAACACATTACCCGTCCATATCAGTATAGATCTCCAGCAGGAGATTCTTCTTCCATTGAGATCTGATGGGTTTTCAAAGTGTTCCTTTCAGGTTTTTGAGCAGTGTGTATTTTTAAAACAGGCAACAGTTGGTCAGTTACATAATCCATTTTGTTTGCTTCTTCACACTTTCCAGCTTCTGCTTAGAGAGACTGGGCCAACACCCCTTCTCCTCCAGTAAGGTCCATTCACCTATCCATGCTCCTCCAGCAGTCCCCCCGGGTCAGCTCAATGTCCCACCCATGTGTCAGAGTCTGGTGATTGGCTGCCTCATGTCCAGAAGCTCCAGAACAGAACAAGGGCTTCAAGATAGCATGGAGAAGGTACAAATACCTTGATAGCCAAAATACGCTGCTCCAGGTAGGCCCACTCTGCTTACACCCCCACACACCTTCCAGTTGGGTGCTATCCCACTGTAGAGAACAAGAACACCCGGACAGTTGCACTCCAAAACTATCCACTTTATTAATTCAGAAAAGACCAAAATGGCAGGCAAACATAGACACAGCAGGGGAGAAGATGGTTGACGCGTTTTGTTCTGTCAGCACGTACTCATAACCTTCAGCGCGAAATGCAGCAGCCATCTTCTCCCCCACTGGGTCTATGTTGGCCTGACATTTTGTATTTTTTATGAATTAATAAAGTGGATCATTTTAGAGTGCAGAACATCCAGATTTTCTTGTTCTCTGCACTGCTAATACCTTTCTTGGTGGGCTTGGCTATCAGGAGGCCCTGTCACCTTCCCTTGAATGAGCAAAGTGACAGTGCCTGTCATAAGCCATGATGTTCAATTCTTCATACAGGGGACCTCAAGTGTGGTCCTTGACATGAAAAGGCTGCATATAATATTTAGTGAGTTTGATTTTACGGAGACAGCAGACATGCTAAAAGAATTGCTGGAGACGAGAAATATGCCTGAGGAGATATTAACTGACTGGAAAAAATGAGACTGCTAGAGATCACTACTCTTACAGCTCCTCCAGCTCTAAAATAATATGATACATGCTGTCTGAGGGCTCCACAATAAGTGCCAAAGGGTGGTATGTGGTCCCTGGACCTCATGTTGGGCACCAGGGCTTTTAACACTATCATTTCATAGTCGGTCTGGACCAGGGGCGGACTGACCATTAGGAAACTCGGGCACTGCCTGAGGGCCCGGGGTCAATAGGGGGCCCCAAGAGAAGCCCCTGGTACCTTTTTCATGGGGCTTTTTTGTGAGTTTTGGCAAGGACACAGGGGCCCCATGATCCCCTATTGCCCGGGGGCCCAATGAGTTGTCAGTCCGCCCCTGGTCTGGACAATGTGGTAGCCTCATTGAACAGTGGAAGGGCATTTGGTAGGGTTTAGAGCTATGGAAAGTCAGGTATCAGTAAAAAAATGAATTCAGTTGGGAGAGAAAGAGAATACTCTAGAACAGGGGTGCTCAACCTGTGGCCCAAGGAGCCCTCTGATGTGGCCAGCTACGTCCAACCACGGAAACGCATGCCTGGGGTCAGCCATCCACTGATCGCGATCTAGGCTTGCTGACCCGCCATCCCAGAACATCAGAGTGCATCAAACAGACAGCCACGGATGGAGCAGGAGCCACACAAACCAATGCTTCCTCTGTAGCACCTGTCCCAGGTGGAGCGATACCAAGTGCACCTCACCTGGGACCTTTCCAGCCCCCTGGAGAGCGATGCCAGCAGAAGCTGGAAGAGGAATGCAGGAGTTTTGGTGTGATTTCAAAAAGGGCACCACGTCCACAAGGTATAATAGAAGTCTATGGCAAATCTCAGCTAACCCACAAGAAAGCCGTAGGTGCACTGAGCTGCACCCACAGTGCGGGTAAACCGCAGCACATCAGTGTGAAAGCAGCCTTATAGGGGGCTCAGGACAGAAGGGGCTCTTTTACATTGGTGGTTTAACACCTTCCCCTCGACGTTGTGACTGGGCGTCATATGATGTCCTGTCAAAACGAGCTGCTCACTTGGCCGCGGGGCCGTGCAGCGGAACAACCTGTCACCGGCTGTGTCCCATGACATATCACTACACCGGCCAGTGTCATGTGACTGCCGTGACCAATCACAGCAGATCACATGTCGATTGTATACAATGGATGGCTTCCCGCGATGCCATCTATTGTATACAATTATGTTGTCAGCTGTGACTGGTCAAGGCAGTCACATGATACAGACAGGGCCAATCACAGCCCATTTGTATCATGTGATCAGCTTTGCCCAATCACAGCTAATCACAACAAAAGACTAAATGAATCAGCTTCATTCAGTAACAATGATTGCAAATATCAATGAAATACATCGGTATTAGCAATCGTAATGTGTTAAAAAAAAAAAAAAAGAAAAATCCTGATCACTTGCCCAGAGTTGTTCAATGTTACTATGGTAACATTGTATTGCTTTGGCCACAGTGTGCTGAAAAATAAAATAGTAAAAAAAAGTAAAAATGTAATAAAAAATAAAAGAAACATTTGAAAAAAAAAATACAAATTCCATTATTATTATTAGTTTCACTAAAGAAATGTAGCAGAATACATTTTGACCTAAATGTATGAGGAAATGTTATTTATTTGCAAAATTTTATAACAGAAATTAAGAAAAGTGCGTTTTTTTTTCAAAAGTTTTTTGTTTTATTTAGCAAACAATAAAAAAAAACTCAGTGGTGATTAAATACCACCAAAAGAAAGCTCTATTTGTGTTAAAAAAATAATAAAAATTTATGGGTAAGTATTGCAACAGCGCAATTGAAAGTGCAACAGCGCTGAAAGCTGAAAATTGGCCAGGGCAGGAAGGGGGTATAAGTGCCCGGTATTGTAGTGGTTAAGGGGCGGTAAAACCCCATAGTTGAGATGTGTTTTTATCTCACACCTCCAACCACTGGTGTAGTGTCAGGGGTCGAAATGGTGACCCTGCGCCATGCTCCAGGGCACGGGCGGACTGACCATTTGGAAACTCGGGCACTGCCCGAGGGCCCGGGGTCAGTAGGGTGCCCCATGAGATGCCCCTGGTGCCTTTTTCATAGGCTTTTTTGAGTTTGGACAAGGACACAGGGGCCCCATGATCCCTTATTGCCCGGGGGCCCCATGAGTTGTCAGTCCGCCCCTGCTCCAGGGACCCCATGCAGCCTTTCTGTCACATTCTGTTTTACACTTGGACAGGAGGGGCATCAAGGGCGACATATACAGGATCTGATTCTCTCCATTTTCATCCTGTAAATGCTGAAAGCCGCTTCTCCTCCTACCCCTCCCACTGGCATTCAGCAGCTGCAGGAGGAAAATGTTCATTATGTTATTCAAAATAAAACAAATTCTACATTCTGAACCATTTCATTGTGGCCCTTGAACCGTTGAGTACCCCTGCTTTAAATGCCAGGTTCTATTACAATTTTCTGTATGTACTTCATATTTTCAATAATTTATTGGAAATTATATGACGGGTTCTCTAGCTTTTCTTTTTACTTTTGCTACCAGCTGCTTCGCCCTGTAGTTATCATAGTGTAACAAAAAAATTAGTCCATTTTAATAAGAACTGTTAGCCCAGAGGCTATACAGAACATTGGTGACTAGGGGTCTCTCTTGGATATAAGAATTAGCACCCTGTGGGTTGGTAGCAGGGGTGCATTTACCACAAGGCAAACAAGGCATTTGCCTAGGGCGGCATTTTTCAGGGGGGCAGCAGCTTTTTTCAGGGGGGCAGTACCATTCCCTGAAAGAAGGAATGGAAGAAGGGACACAGGCAGCACGGGGATCTGAGAGAGGCTGCGGGCTGTTAATGGCGTATGCAGAGCTGGATACTTGTTCCAGGGGATAACTGGAGCTGTGAAGGTGAGTGTCTTATCTTTTTCCGGATTGGGGGTGGGGAGGATTTGCCAGTGTAAGGGGGGGATGGTGGTAGCAAAAGGCTCTCGGGTGGGGGGCCTGGGGTGTTGTCAGCCAATGTCAGGCTCTCTTCGTGTAGGAGAGGGGGTGTTGGTCAGTGTCTGGGTCTCTCCATGGGGGGGGGGGGGGAGCCAATATTTGTGTTGCCTAGGGCAGCACGAAACCTAAATACACCGCTGATTAGTAGGTATGGCTCTGTAGGTGTGAATTACGTACCTCCCACTTAAATGGATCCCAGGCATGGAACCAGCCAGTGAAGGTGGGGGGTTCAAACCCTTGCTTCACGATGACGATGGGGGTGCTGAGGTCACGCCCTCCAGGGTGGGTCCTCAGGTAGTCCTGAGCCGTTACCGCAGCTTGTGCCTTCTCTGCATCATTTGCAGCTTTTCCGATCCACAAGAAGACCTGCCGGCACAGTTATCACAAGTTATCACAAGTTATCAAGAAGCTATTATACCCAGGGGCGGACTGACAACTCATGGGGCCCCCCCCCCCCCCCCCCGGCAATAGGGGATCATGGGGCCCCTGTGTCCTTGCCCACACTCAAAGCACACCCAAAAAAGCCTATAAAAGGTACCATTTCATGGGGCCCCCCTACTGACCCCGGGCCTTCGGGCAGTGCCCGAGTGCTCAAATGGTCAGTCCGCCCCTGATTATACCTACTTGCATAGCCCAGGGTCTAAATATGACTGTTGGATATAATAACACACAAATACCTTTAGCTTTAAAGAACAGCTCTACATTTAAAACATATTAATGTATCATTTGTTTTGTGTGCTTTGACAGCTGTCATCACAGGGCAGGATACTGTATATATGTATAATACATAAGGGGGGATATGATCTCCATGTATAATACATAAGGGGGGATATGATCTCCATGTATAATACATAAGGGGGGATATGATCTCCATGTATAATACATAAGGGGGGATATGATCTCCATGTATAATACATAAGGGGGATATGATCTCCATGTATAATACATAAGGGGGGATATGATCTCCATGTATAATACATAAGGGGGGGATATGATCTCCATGTATAATACATAAGGGGGGTATGATCTCCATGTATAATACATAAGGGGGATATGATCTCCATGTATAATACATAAGGGGGGATATGATCACCATGTATAATACATAAGGGGGATATGATCTCCATCTATAATACATAAGGGGGGGATATGATCTCCATCTATAATACATAAGGGGGGTATGATCTCCATGTATAATACTTAAGGGGGGGTATGATCTCCATGTATAATACATAAGGGGGGATATGATCACCATGTATAATACATAAGGGGGGATATGATCACAATGTATAATACATAAGGGGGGGATATGATCTCCATGTATAATACATAAGGGGGGGATATGATCTCCATGTATAATACATAAGGGGGGGTATGATCTCCATGTATAATACATAAGGGGGATATGATCTCCATGTATAATACATAAGGGGGGGATATGATCTCCATGTATAATACATAAGGGGGGTATGATCTCCATGTATAATACATAAGGGGGGGATATGATCACCATGTATAATACATAAGGGGGGATATGATCACAATGTATAATACATAAGGGGGGGATATGATCTCCATGTATAATACATAAGGGGGGGATATGATCACCATGTATAATACATAAGGGGGGATATGATCTCCATGTATAATACATAAGGGGGGATATGATCTCCAGGTATAATACATGAGGGGGATATGATCTCCATATATAATACATAAGGGAGGATGTGATCTCCATGTATAATACATAAGGGGGGATATGATCTCCATATATAATACATAAGGGGGGATATGATCTCCATGTATAATACATAAGGGGGGATATGATCTCCATGTATAATACATAAGGGGGATATGATCTCCATATATTAATACATAAGGGGGATATGATCTCCATATATTAATACATAAGGGGGGATATGATCAGCATGTATAATACATAAGGGGGGATATGATCTCCATGTATAATACATAAGGGGGATATGATCTCCATGTATGATACATAAGGGGGGATATGATCTCCATGTATAATACATAAGGGGGATATGATCTCCATGTATAATACATAAGGGGGATATGATCTCCATGTATAATACATAAGGGGGATATGATCTCCATATATAATACATAAGGGGGGATATGATCTCCATGTATAATACATAAGGGGGATATGATCTCCATGTATGATAATAAGGGGGGATATGATCTCCATGTATAATACATATGGGGGGGATATGATCACCATGTATAATACATAAGGGGGATATTAATCACCATGTATAATACATAAGGGGGGATATGATCTCCATGTATAATACATAAGGGGGGATATGATCTCCATGTATAATACATAAGGGGGGGATATGATCACCATGTATAATACATAAGGGGGGATATGATCACCATGTATAATACATAAGGGGGGATATGATCTCCATGTATAATTACATAAGGGGGGATATGATCTCCATGTATAAATACATAAGGGGGGAGATATGATCTCCATGTATACATACATAAGGGGGGATATGATCTCCATGTATAAATACATAAGGGGGATATGATCTCCATGTATAATACATAAGGGGGGGATATGATCTCCATGTATAAATACATCAGTGGTTCATATAGTGAACTCGGTGTAGAGCTATTTCCCCCTGAGGTCATCACAGAGGACAAGGGAGCACTCTTTACGTCTGGAGGAAAAAGAAATGTAATCTCCAAACACGGAAAGGTTTTTTCACAGTAAGAGCTGTGAAAAATGTGGACTAGACACCCTCAAGAGTTGGTTCTGGCCAGCTCAGTGGATTGCTGTAGGAAAGTCCTGGATTCTTTCTTGGATACACAGAATTTAAATGGATATAACATTTATAGGCAAAGTTGATCCAGGGAATATCCGATTGCCTCTCGGGGGATCAGGAAGGAATTTTTTTCCCTGCAGGAGCAAATTGGATCATGCTTTGCTGGGTTATTTTGCCTTCCTCTGGATCAACTGTGGGTGTAGGATTATAACTTTTTTTTTTTAATGGTTGAACTGGATGGACTTTTGTTTTCATGAGGACAGTCATCTGTTTGAAATGGGAATTTTACCCTGACTGTGTTTCTCCTTTAAAAGAACATAAACTCCAGTAATGTGCACTTGCTGGGGCTTGAGTGTCATGATTGAATCAATAATTGGTGACCAGGCCATAGGTTCCCACCCCTCTCACCTGATCCCAGGCATCCAATAAGAAGACATCATCTTCAAACAAATCATCTTGGCTAAAATGTGCAATTTCATCTGCAATAAAGTTCCCCGTCTTGTTGGAGCATTCAAAGAGGCGAGGTTGAATGTCGAGGGTTTCTTCCTGCAATCTTCAAGGAGACACAGAGTCAGAAAATGCTGCAGCTTCTCACAAATCGGTAATTTGTTCCTTTGGGTATTTGTTCATTTATTGTCCTTCTGCATTCATAAGAAAATGAAAATGGACCTCCTACACTCAGGGCGGTGGATAAGGGGGTACCACCAGTCCTCCTGTATGGGGCCCAAGCCAGCAGGGGGGGCCCAGGCAGCTGGGTGAATTGGATGTAGGCAGGGAGGGATATTGGCATGGTGGTGGTGGTGGGGGGTTAATTACTAGAACTGATCCCCTGTATGGCTCTCTCTGCAGCAGATTAGAGCTGATTTTATTTTCTCCTCCCCCTCCCGCTGGCTTTCAGCTGCTGCAGAGAGAGCCATACAGGGAATTGTTTCCAGTAATTGAAGCCCCCCCACCTCACCCATCACCCTCCCTTTGCACCATGCATTTTCCCCCTGCTACCCAGGCCCTCCTGTGTGCCTCCACCCCTGCAGTTTCCTGCCAGCTTCCCTCCTCACATTTTCCAGCCCCTTCCTTTCCTGAATGCACACAATGAGTGATCGGTACTGATCACTCAATGTGTTCATTCATAACTGAAGCATAGTTAATTCTGATTTCTTTGGGCTGGTGCCCCGCCAGGTTGGCTGTACGGGGCCCCATGGTTTTTAACAGAAGCCCTGCCTACACTAACTGATGATAAAGCTCTTTATACAGTATATCTGTCCATCTAGAGATGCATACGGTGTGGTGGCGGGGTCTTTTTATTAACAGCCAGGGAAACTATGCCCTCAAGACCTTTTGTTTCTAGAGCCAAAAAATGAACTGTGTGTCGTTCAACAGTAATTTGTCCAATTCAAATCTTCACTGTAAAAAGGGCACAGTAATCTAATTGTTGAATCTGCTTGGTTGCTGTTGTCCAATACGGTTGTAGTCCCCTTCTAGTGTAGCTAGGGGGAGCTAGACTCCAATGGTTAGATAGGGGCTGAGCAGCAAATGACCATTATGTAATCTTCAGGCCTAAAATTATTTTTTTAAACGTGCGCAAAAAATGCAAAAAAGGCTTGGCAAGCGAAAGGGTTAAAAAGTAGCCAAACAACTATGTGATCATACATTTTTTTTTTAATTTTTATTTATTCAGGTACTTATATAGCGCTGTCAGTTTACACAGTGCTTTACATATATATATATATATAAATATATATATATATTTGTACATTCACATCAGTCCCTGACCCTCAAGGGGCGTACAATCTAAGGTCCCTAATTCACATTCATACATACACATACTAGGGACAATTTTAGACAGGATCCAATTAACCTACCAGCATGTCTTTAGAGTGTGGGAGGAAACCAGAGTACCTCGAGGAAACCCATACAGGCACAGGGAGAACATGCTAACTCCAGGCAGGTGGTGCCGTGGTTGGGATTCAAACCAACGACCTTAGTCCTGCCAGGCAGAAGTGCTAACCATTTAGCCACTGTGCTGCCCACATCTGATGCAGGGGGGGTTGGAGTGCTATGGACATCTAGTCTTAAAGATACAACCTGCCCTTTGAGGGCCCGCAATGAAAATGAGTTTAACACCCCTTGTATAGAAGAAAAGAAAAAATCCACTTATCTACAGAAACTGGAACAGGTTCTCTTTGAGGAAAAAAAAAAGCCAACACTAGGTACGGCAGAGAAATTGGATTCTTTGGGCGCAGTAAGAGACCACACAGTAAAATACAGCCATTTATTGACATAAAAGAGTCATATATTCTTTATAGGACCCATTATACAGACATACCACCAAAAAAAGAAAACCATAATTGTGACTGGAGTGACTTTTGGAGGTGGGGGGGACCCCTGTGTCAGCTCATGTTCCCTTCATTATGTTTAACCCACCCTGTGCCTGTTAAGGGGTACAGGGTGTGAATGTGAATGTCCATGTCCTAGTATTGTGTATTGGTGTGGGGATTGTTCGCTGCCATGTGTTTGTCCATTGTTCTTTGCCATGTGCTACATCCCATTGTTCTGTGTCTTGGTTGGGTGGGGGGTGTTTCCTGTAGCCCTTCCCACTGATGGGGTGGGCTGATGATGTGTTTCCTGTCCCCGATTGTGTTTCCCCGCCCTGTGTATATATCTTGTGTTTGTATAAGAATAAAGGAGTTGACTTCCTGTCTTAAGAAGAGTCTGGTCCTGTCTTATTTCCTGTATGGTCAGCGGTGGTGTCCGGGAATCTGTGTTCGGACAGGGAAGCGGGAGTCTAATGGAAATACCCTAGCGCGGTCTGGGTCTGGTTCCGTTACAATAATTATAGACAAAATGCCTTTCTTGGCTATACGTTGATCACTATGCACATAATCATAATGACTACAGTATACATTGATCAAAGAACGGCCAACGCGTACAACACAATGAGTATACAGACAAGCACATAGAATTTGTAATTGTATATCTTTATATTATTATTATACAGGATTTATATTATTATTATTATTATTATACAGGATTTATATTATTATTATTATACAGGATTTATATTATTATTATTATTATATACAGGATTTATATTATTATTATTATACAGGATTTATATTATTATTATTATTATACAGGATTTATATTATTATTATACAGGATTTATATCGCACCAACAGTTTGCTCAGCGCTTTACAATATAAAGGGAGACAATACAGCAACAATACAGTTCAATACAAGAGGGTTAGGAGGGAACTGATCCTGGGAGCTTACAATCTAAGAGGGAGGGGCTAGTGGTGCAGTAGCACTATTTTCCCTGACATTCACGTTATGGTCCTGAAGAAGCCAATTGCACAGGTGAAACGCGTTGACCGTTCTTTGATCAATGTATATTGTAGTCTGTAAGGATGCGGGTGTTCTGCAGCATCGCACCAGGCGGCGCATGCACAGAACACCAGTCCTCGCTAGCCGACGAGCGACGGGACCTGGGCGTGCACGGCGGCGGTGTTCGCGCATGTGCACTCGCTATCGTGGACACGCGCCTGGCACCAATGACAGCGCAGGGCGGGCTATTTAAACGGGAACTAAGGTATGTCAGTTGCCGTTTGGTCTTACCTGCTCTGTTCCTGATATTGTGTTCCTGTGTTATCTCGTTGCCGACCTCTGCTTGTACCTGACCCTGCTGATTGCTCCTGTTTAACCCCTGGCTTTGCCTGACCATTCTTCTGCCTGATCCCTGGTACTGCGCTGCCCGCAACCTGCTGAACCTGGCTTGTGACCCCGACTATCCTCTGCTCGCTCCTCTTGTACCTTGCTGCCCCGCGCGATACCGACCCGGCCTGCCTGACTACGCCTACTTCACCCGACGATCCATCCATCCCGCACGGATCACGCACTATTAGTAAGTCTGCCTGCCTCTTCCCATCAGACTCTGTTCCCGTACTCCCCTGCCAGTGCCCTCTACCACCGTCGGACGCACTCAGGGGTCACGACCTGGTTCCAGTCTGCACCAAGTCCATCCCCACCATCAGGGGCCCTGGTGAACAGTAGACTGGAACTTAGACCCCAGCGCCCTGATGAAATCCGTGCTGTGGGATGCTAGAGACACTGTCAGGTGGAACATAACATAGTCACTATGATTATGTGCTTAGTGATCAACATATAGGCAAGAAAGGCATTTTGTCTATAATTATGGTTTTCTTTTTTTGGCCCCTCTTCCGGGGTATGTCTGTATGATGGGTCCTATAAAGAATATATGACTCTTTTATGTCAGTAAATGGCTGTATTTTACTGTGTGGTCTCTTACTGCGCCCAAAGAATCCAATTTCTCTGCCGTGCCTAGAGTCCAGCTTTTTTTTTTTTTTTCCTTTGTTTCCAGTAGGATTTGGCACCAGGAAGCTTCTTTGTTTATTTTTTCAGGTTCTCTTTGAGATACAAGATACCAAAGCGTGTTTTAACTTTACAATGTGAGTGCATTTATTGAGTATATAAATAAAGGAAAGTTTTATAAGAATAAAGCACTGTCCACATTTCTTTTTGCTCCATGACACTGAGGAACATCTAAGAGGAGTAAGCAGGGGATCCTGAGCAGCTGAAGGAGGGAGAGGTCCCTGCAGGGATAACGAGTGATCAAGGAGAGAAGCATTGTGGAGTACATTTATTTATTTATTTATTTCAGGTACTTATATAGCGCCGTCAATTTACGCAGCACTTTACATATATATTGTACATTCACATCAGTCCCTAACCCTCAAGGGGCGTACAATCTAAGGTCCCTAACCCTCAAGGGGCGTACAATCTAAGGTCCCTAACCCTCAAGGGGTGTACAATCTAAGGTCCCTAACTCACATTCATACATACACATACTAGGGACAATTTAGACACATAGGAGGTACAGTGGGGCAAAAAAGTATTTAGTCAGCCACCAATGGTGCAAGTTCTCCCACTTAAAAAGATGAGAGAGGCCTGTAATTGGCATCATAGGTAGACCTCAACTATGAGAGACAAAATGAGAAAAAAATTCCAATCACATTGGCTGATTTGGAAAGAATTTATTTGCAAATTATGGTGGAAAATAAGTATTTGGTCACCTACAAACAAGCAAGATTTCTGGCTCTCACAGACCTGTACTTTCTTCTTTAAGAGGCTCCTCTGTCCTGCACTCATTACCTGTATCAATGGCACCTGTTTGAACTTGTTATCAGTATAAAAGACACCTGTCCACAAGCTCAAACAGTCACACTCCAAACTCCACTATGGTGAAGACCAAAGAGCTGTCGAAGGACACCAGAAACAAAATTGTAGACCTGCACTAGGCTGGGAAGACTGAATCTGCAACAGGCAAGCAGCTTGGTGTGAACAAATCAACTGTGGGAGCAATAATTAGAAAATGGAAGACATACAAGACCACTGATAATCTCCCTCGATCTGGGGCTCCACGCAAGATCTCACCCCGTGGGGTCAAAATGATCACAAGAACTGTGAGCAAAAATCCCAGGACCACACGGGGGGACCTAGTGAATGACCTGCAGAGAGCCGGGACCAACGTAACAAAGGCTACCATCAGTAACACACTACGCCTCCAGGGACTCAGATCCTGCAGTGCCAGACATGTCCCCCTGCTTAAGCCAGTACATGTCCGGGCCCGTCTGAAGTTTATTGAGAGCATTTGGATGATCCAGAAGAGGATTGGGGAGAATGTCATATGGTCAGATGAAACCAAAATAGAACTGTTTGGTAGAAACACAACTCGTCGTGTTTGGAGGAGAGAGAATGCTGAGTTGCATCCAAAGAACACCATACCTACTGTGAAGCATGGGGGGGTGGCAACATCATGCTTTGGGGCTGTTTCTCCGCAAAGGGACCAGGACGACTGATCCATGTACAGGACAGAATGAATGGGGCCATGTATCGTGAGATTTTGACTGCAAACCTCCTTCCATCAGCAAGGGTATTGAAGATGAAACGTGGCTGGGTCTTCCAACATGACAATGATCCCAAACATACCGCCTGGGCAACAAAGGAGTGGCTTCGTAAGAAGCATTTCAAGGTCCTGGAGTGGCCTAGCCAGTCTCCAGATCTCAACCCCATAGAAAACCTTTGGAGGGAGTTGAAAGTCCGTGTTGCCCAGCGACAGCCCCAAAAATCACTGCTCTAGAGGAGATCTGCATGGAGGATGGGCCAACATACCAGCAACAGTGTGTGCCAACCTTGTGAAGACTTCCAGGAAACATCTGACCTCTGTCATTGCCAACAAAGGATATATAACAAAGTATTGAGATGAACTTTTGATATTGACCAAATACTTATTTTCCACCATAATTTGCAAATAAATTCTTTCCAAATCAGTCAATGTGATTGTCTGGATTTTTTTCTCATTTTGTCTCTCATAGTTGAGGTCTACCTATGATGCCAATTACAGGCCTCTCTCAGCTTTTTAAGTGGGAGAACTTGCACAATTGGTGGCTGACTAAATACTTTTTTGCCCCACTGTATCCAACATCCATTCCATGCTGCAGCAAATTATAGCAGGTTCCATATATGTGAACAAAAAGTGTAATAAGCCTATCTGTTAGGCTTGCAAGGAGGTGAGCGCACATCATTAATGTTATAAGGATTCACGAAAAAGTCACAACTGGTGTTTTTGGATCCCGTCGTCACATTTTCTTTGTATTATTGTTTGAAGAATGGGACTGTTGTTTGTTTGATTTTATATCACAATTATTAATTTGGCATTCATTATTTTATGTATGATATATTTTTGTGTGGATATTTTATTTGAAGTTATTTATATTTAGTTTGATTGGGAGCGCAACATTTTGGTGATATGTTTTTTTTTTATACACAGTTAGAGTAATATTAATATTATACAGTATTTATAAAGCGCCAATGGTTCGCTCAGCGCTGTACATTACAAAGGGGGACAGAACATGTGACAGAACAATACCAATACAATTCAAAACATGAGGGGATCGAGGGCCCTGCTCCTTGGAGCTTACAATCTAGGAGGGAGGGGATGGTGGTACAGGAGGAGATAGCTGTGGGGGATGGAGTGGTAGGAAAGGGGAGGAGGTCGGCAAGTTAGCAGGGGGTGGGGTAGGCTTCCCTGAAGAGATGGGTTTTCAGGGTGCGCCTAAAGGAGAGGAGAGTAGGTGATAATCTGATGGGTTGGGTCAGGGAGTTCCAGAGGATGGGTGACACCCTGGAGAAGTCCTGGAGGCGGGCATGGGAGGAGGAGACCAGGGAACTAGAGAGAAGGAGGTCTTGTGAGGAGCGGAGTGTGCATGCTGGGCGGTACTTGGATATTAGGTCAGTGATGTAGTTCGGGGCAGTATGGTGGACGGCTTTGTACGTCAGTGTTAGGATTTTGAATTTGATCCGTTGCGCAATCGGAAGCCAGTGGAGGGATTGGCAGAGGGGGGTGGCGGAGATGGAGCGGTTGGAAAGGTGAATGAGTCTGGCAGCCGTATTAGTATGTGATATATGTTAGCGATCCAGAGGAGTTTTTATTTTGGTGGCTCGCAAGTTATACACACATATCCCCTAGCAGCTGACTAGTGCAGACCTGCCAAAAAGTGGTTTTTAATAAATCCTATGCGGAGTAATAATCACTAAATTAGTGCATGCAAAATTGTATTTATTAGATCACATAGATCATGAAAAAGGTAGACATTATATCATGGTGAACAGTGGGAAATCATAAAAAAAAAAAAAAAAAAAAAAAAACGTTCTGCGTCTTCCACTTAGCTGCATGTATGATAGTGAATCAGATAAATGAGACAATTATTTCTTCTGTATTCATCAGATGAAAAGTTCATATAAAGAATCCAGATATGAGTACAATTCTTCCTATCTAAATGGCCCATCTCTTTGAGATACCCTGGTTCATTCAGAACCTCTATGACAATCAACAATTTTGTTTTTCTTAATCAATAACTGCTATGGTCTCAAGTTGTTCTCATCTCCTCATGATTCTGGTACTGGAGATACCTGGATCATCAAAATCCGTTTGTATAGAACAGCCTTTCACAACCTTTTTAACATGGAGGAACCCTTGAAATCACTTTCTGGTCTCAGGGAACCCCGTCTAAAAATTACTGTATCTACAACTCATGATACATTAGTGTGATGGTCAGTGGGAAGAATGCTCCTTACACTTGTGGTCATTGGGAAGAATGCTCCTCACACTTGTGGTCATTGGGAAGAATGCTCCTCACACTTGTGGTCATTGGGAAGAATGCTCCTCACACTTGTGGTCATTGGGAAGAATGCTCCTCACACTTGTGGTCATTGGGAAGAATGCTCCTCACACTTGTGGTCATTGGGAAGAATGCTCCTCACACTTGTGGTCATTGGGAAGAATGATCCTCACACTTGTGGTCATTGGGAAGAATGCTCCTCACACTTGTGGTCATTGGGAAGAATGCTCCTTCCACTTGTGGTCATTGGGAAGAATGTTCCTCACACTTGTGGTCATTGGGAAGAATGCTCCTTCCACTTGTGGTCATTGGGAAGAATGCTCCTTACACTTGTGGTCATTGGGAAGAATGCTCCTTACACTTGTGGTCATTGGGAAGAATGATCCTCACACTTGTGGTCATTGGGAAGAATGATCCTCACACTTGTGGTCATTGGGAAGAATGCTCCTTCCACTTGTGGTCATTGGGAAGAATGTTCCTCACACTTGTGGTCATTGGGAAGAATGCTCCTTCCACTTGTGGTCATTGGGAAGAATGCTCCTTACACTTGTGGTCATTGGGAAGAATGATCCTTACACTTGTGGTCATTGGGAAGAATGATCCTCACACTTGTGGTCATTGGGAAGAATGATCCTCACACTTGTGGTCATTGGGAAGAATGATCCTTACACTTGTGGTCATTGGGAATAATTCCCTTCTTATACATAGCTAAATGGTCTATGGTGTCAGTGGGAACTTATCTGAGAGGCAGAAATTGCTCATTGCTTGAGGAACCCTTAGCAACCTCTGGAGGAACCGAGGTTGAGAAACCCTGATATACAGTAGAATATGGTTTATGTTTACCAGCTTTTTTATGCTTCATACACTAGCCAGGGGGTCACATATTTACCTCTTGTTGTTAGCATACTGAGATTTGCCTCCCAGAGCCAACCAGAACTCAGATGGTTCCTGGCCTTCAGCCACAACCACCTTCTCACCCCTGGAGATCAGGTCAGCAACGTTCTTGGCCATGGCTCTCTCATCACCACTGCAGCCCTGCAAGAGATAAAACATGCATTCGAATTTGGTGCCTTCAGTCATACGAATCTCTGATTGACAGGACATCAAGTACAGTTGTAAAAGATTACAGGTAACATGGGTTCATAAGTCAGGTTTTGGGTTATTATTTTTGAACAGTTCATTTTTTGTTTTTGATTTGTTTTATATATATATATATATATATATATATATATATATATATATATCACACTACTACACTACTTGCAGCCTGCCTCCTGATGGTGCTGACATCTGCTGCCTGGAATCTTGCATTCCTCTGCTCCTACAGTCTAGCTCAGCCTTTCAAAAACTGGGGTGCCAGGGCATCCTGGTTGAGAAAGTCATTCATGTCACAGCCGAGCTCTTACGCGGGAGCTCAATGAAGGCAGCAAAGTGAACAGCAGTGGGGGAGGTGGCTTTCCAACCTCCCCCTACAGAGCAGTACCCCGCAGGCAGGGGTGTATTTACCACAAGGCAAACAAGGCACTTGCCTAGGGCGGCATTTTTCAGGGGGAGCAGCACCTCCCCCTAGAAGAAGGGATGAAAGAAGGGACATGTGCACCATGGAAACCAGGTGGGATCCAAGAGAGGCTGCAGCCTGTTTGATGGTGTATGTAGAGCCTGGCTCTCGCTCCCGGGGATGTCCAGAGCTGTGAAGATGAGTGTCTCTCTATTGCTGGAGGGGTAGTGGAAGGCTCGTTGTTGGTCAATGTGATTCTCTTTCCGCGGGTGGGGGAAGGGGGGGTTGTGTTGGTCGGTTTCCATGTGGGCATACGGTTTTTGTGTTTCCTAGGTTAGCACAAAACCTAAATACACCATTGCCCGCAGGTACAGTGCTGCAGATTGTAACCACTTACACTCCGGAAGATTTTTATCACCTTTTGGTAATATTTGATCACCACTGGGTTTTTTATTTTTTATTATATCAACAAAAAAAGTCTGTAAAAAAACTATATTTTTTATTTTCTGCTATATTGTAAAACATATCCTATTCAAATATTTTTAAAAAATCATATTTCTTCATAAATTTAGGCCAAAATATATTCTGCTACATGTCTTTGGTGGAAAAAAAATCCCAGTAAGTGTATATTCATTGGTTTGTGTGAAAGTTATAGCGTCTACAAACAATGGTATATATACTGGAATTTTTTTTTTTTTTTATACTAGTAATGGTGGTGATCAGTGACTTATAGTGGGACTGTGATAGTGCGGTGGGCAATCTGACACTAACTGACACTTTAAGGGAACTGATACAGTGAACAGTGCTAATTATATACATTATCTCTGTACTAATGACACTGGTTGGGAAGGGGTTTGCATTTAGGGCCAATCAAGGGGTTAACTGTGTGCCTACCAATGTTTAGTGTATGTACTGAGTGATGATTTTACTAAGCAATGTGCCGGTTTTTAGTACCTGCTTTGCAGGGGAGAAAAAAAAAACAGCAGTCATTAGACAGCCCTGTATTGTGTTCACAGGGCTCTCTTCCGTCATTCACTAAGCCAGTCAGCAGGTCCTGACCATAAATCATTGGTCGGGATCCGCTGATTAGCTTGTGCTGTAGCAAATGACAGCAGAGCAGGGGGGACAGGCACTCGGACGGGGCGCCTTCCCGTTGTTGGGGGCCTTCCCGGAATTGCTGTCCCTCCTCTACACTGAAGCCAGTACTGGGACCTGATCATGTGCCCAGACTGGAGCGACTTAAGAATAAGTAAGTCTAGACATCTTTCCTTTTACAGGGTAAATAAAATAGGCTTAGAATAGTGGTGGGGGCAGGTTTAGGGTTAGGTATATCTGGATTATATATATATACACACTGTATTGCCAAAAGTATTGGTTTGTCTGCCTTTCCATGCACACGAACTTTAATGGCCCCCCAGTCTTAGTCCGTAGGGTTCAATATTGAGTTGGCCCCGCCCTTTGCAGCTATAACAGCTTCAACTCTTCTGGGAAGGCCGTCCACAAGGTTTAGGAGGGTGTCTGTGGGAAGGTTGGACCATTCTTCCAGAAGCACATTTGTCAGGTCAGGCACTGATGTCGGGGGAGGAGGCCTGGCTCACAGTCTCCACTCTAATTCATCCCAAAGGTGTTCTATGGGGTTGGGGTCAGGACTCTGTGCAGGACAGTCAAGTTCCTCCACCCCAAACTGGCTCCTCCATGTCTTTATGGACCTTGCTTTGTGCACTGGTGGGCCTTCATGTTGGAACAGGAAGGGGCCATCCCCAAACTCTTCCCACAAAGTTGGGAGCATAAAATTGTCCAAAATGTCTTGGTATGCTGACGCCTTAAGAGTTCGCTTCACTGGAACTAGGGGGCCAAGCCCAACACCTGAAAAACATCCCCACACCATAATCCTCCCTCCACCAAACTTTACACTTGGTACAATGCAGTCAGGCAAGTATCATTCTCCTGGGTACCGCCAAACCCAGTCACATCCATCAGATTGCCAGAGAAGTGTAATTAGTCACTCCAGAGAACACGTCTCCACTGCTATAAAGTCCAGTGGTGGCGTGCTTTATACCACAGCTTTGCATTGCACTTGGTGATGGAAGGCTTGGATGCAGCTGCTCAGCCATGGAAACCCATTCCATGAAGCTCTCTATGCACTGTTGTTGTGTTCATCTGAAGGCCACACCAAGTTTGGAGGTCTTTAGCTATTGACTCTGCAGACAGTTGGTGACTTCTGCGCACTGTGCGCATCAGCATGCGCTGACCCCGCTCTGTCATGTGACGTGGCCTACCACTTGGTGGCTGAGTTGCTGTTGTTCCCAGTTGCTTCTACTTTGGTATAATCCCACTAACAGTTGAGCGTGGAATATTTAGTAGCCAGGAAATGTCACAGATGGACTTATTGCACAGGTGGCCACCTATCACGGGACCACGCTTGGAGTCACTGAGCTCCTGAGAGCGACCCATTCTTTCACCAATGTTTGTAGAAGCAGTCTGCATGTCTAGGGGCTTGATTGTATACACCTGTGTCCATGGAGGGGATTTCAGACTCTCTCTAATCCTAGCTTCACATCTGTGTGGGTGGTGCCGCTGCGAAAATCTGTGCAGCTGCACCACCCACACAGAGAAATGTGGACCCGTGGACGGGTGACATTAGTTCTAATGGTACGACGCCCCGCACTGGAAAACGCAACAGTACTGAGAACCTCGGTTCCCGTGCAGGTTGCGTTTTCCAAAGAAGTGCAGGGACTTCTTCCCTGCATGTCACGGGCACGGGAGTCCATTCAAATGAATGGGCTCTCGTGCCCATGCAAAACACGGCCCGCACAGCCGCATAGATGTGAACCGAGGGTAACTGAATCCACATCTAACCAGAGCAGGATGGGAGGGGAGTAGTTCACTTTTCTAACTTTAAGCTATGCTAGAACTGGCATTTTTTGAACACAGCAGCTAGGAATAGATAGGTACACAGCTTCTTTATAAAGAGTATCTCGTGTTTACCTGGCAAAAAATATATAAAAATGTTTACAAATAAATGAATGTTTTAAATCTTTAATATAATAAAGAAAATATATACAAAAAATGCTAAAACACCTCGAGGCAGACCATTAGATGTCTTGTAGCCTGGTGTTCACCCTTGGACCTAACAGATATGATTGGCCCTACCAGGAACAGGAGGATCTAGCCAGGAGAGCCTTCCAGGTTGCTTTTCTTACCTTTCCGCACCAGATATAACAGGCTCCCTTTGTCCTCAGCACAAACACATCATTAGAGTTGAGGGATGAGGCCCGCACTGGCACTTCAAAAGCCTTGGTGTTGTACTCATTGGTTCCATGTACATGAAACAGCCTGATCTCAGCGGGAGTCTCATTGCTGTCTGCACGGGAAAAGGTGCCACCCTGGGGGAGGAAAACATTATTTATTTCAGGTACTTTATATAGCGCCGTCAATTTACGCAGCACTTTACATATATATTGTACATTCACATCAGTCCCTAACCCTCAAGGGGTGTACAATCCAAGGTCCCTAACTCACATTCATACATACACACAGGGCTTTTTTTCTCAGAGGAAAGGTGGTGGAACTCCCCCACCCAAAACCTGGCCACGCCCCCATCAAACCCTAGGACCACCCCTTTAGAGAACAGGAATGCAAGTAAAATTTGGGAGGGGCTATAAAAGTAAATGTATGGAATTAACACCGCCCCCCCCCCCCCACATTAGTGAAAGAATAGCGAGTAACACTGCCCCCCCCCCCCACATTAGCAAGAAAAGCGAGAAAAATTGTATCGCCGCTCCTTACCTGATGCTGACGATCCGCGCTATGGTAGGATCGACGAGCAAGAGGCGCGTGATGACGTCAGCGCGCACCGCGGGGTGTACTAAGATACACCTTTCCTATGGGGGTGGCCGCGCGCAGCCCCCCGATGTTTACACGCTGGCGGGGTAGAGGGGGGGGGGATTGATGTGAAGCGTGCATGTCCCCGCTCACCGGCTGTGAGCAGCGGCAGTGACAGGTGCCGGGCACGCGCAAGCATGACATAAACAAGCCGCGTCCGGCACCTGTCACTTTTCGCTGCTCTGCATAGCTTGTCAGCTCTGCAGAGGCAGTCGGTGAGCGGGGACAAGAAGAAAAAGGTGGCGGAACGCAGTACCGCCGCGTTCCGGCAGAAAGAAAGCCCTGCATACACATACTAGGGACAATGTAGACAGGAGCCAATTAACCTCCAGCATGTCTTTGGAGTGTGGGAGGAAACTGGAGTACGTGGAGGAAGCCCACACAGGCACAGGGAGAACATGCAAACTCCAGGCAGGTGGTGCCGTGGTTGGGATTTGAACCAACAACCCCTAGTACTGCTAACCATTTAGCCACTGTGCTGCCCAAAAGATACTTTTTCATCCTGTATTTAATAAAAGCAGAACTCCAGGTAAATGGCTAAACTGACAGTCTACAGCCGTACTAAAACCCCAAACCAAAAATGTCATATATTGCAGCATACCAACCATTAGATGTGATAGCTGCATTAGTTTTCTTTTTTAGGCTTTTTTCCCCTCTGTTTTCACCTGGTGATCTGGCCAGTAACACTCCTCCTGTATTAGTGTGGAATTATAGTTTGATCCAGGGAATATCTGATTGCCTCTCGGGGGGATCAGGAAGGAAATTTTTTCCCAGCAAGAACAAATTAGATCATGCTTTGATGGGTTTTTTTTGCCTTTTTCTGGATCAACTGTGGGTGTAGGATTATCACTTTTTTTTTTCTATGGTTGAACTGGATGGACATTTTGTCTTTTTTCAGCCAGACTATATAACTATGTAGAGTGCCTCCACTCTGGATGAAGGAGCACAGGGGGACACCTTTGGACAGAAGCATTGTCAGTCTGGGAGGAGGGGAGTGTTCGATGGACTAGCCGATTTAGATACACTAACAAATTGAAGCCAAACTCCAGCTAACATTTTATAATCAGTTACAGCAGTTTTTTTTTCTTTTGGGGAGCATAATGGATCAGACTCCGATCCATTATGCTCAATCAGAAGATCCAATCCATTCTGCGGGGAATGAGGGGGGGGGGGTGGGGGGGATTGTCGTGGAGGGGGTGTCACCAAGTGTTATCACACCGTGTGACACCAACCCTAGGACGTCCCTGCTTAGGTGTACAGAATTACCAATCTTTTTTTGGGTATATCAGCAACTGATTTTTTCCAACTGCAAATTTAGCTGTTTCCTGGAGTTCCAATCATACAGTTACTCATTTAATGTAACATTTCTGATAAGACAGGGAGAATGTCACCAGCACACCGAGGATCACCAAAATGGGTCCAAAAGTATTAATGAACGATCGCATAGTTACAGCAAGGCAACGTTTCAGAGTCTCGCAGGACCCCTTCATCAGGCATGTGACCTATGTGACCTATGTGACGTCATATGCCTGATGAAGGGGTTCTGTGAGACTCCGAAACGTTGCCTTGCTGTAACTATGTGATCGTTCACTAAAACATTTGGACCCGTATTGGTTGATCCTCGATGTGCTGGTGACATCTCCCTTGCTGACTCTGTGCGTTTCCTGCCGATGGTCGCTAGCAGCACCCACTTATACACACCGCCATTTTTTAACGCAGGAACGTGTGCGTTTGGGTTGTGACGTTTACACTCTAAGACAAACACATTGCTATTTGCCGCATCAGAAGCGTGAAGAGTGTTTTTACTTCATTTCCCAGGATGTCTCTTACCTCGTACACCACCATCTTCCCTTTAAATATAGCCATAAGGTGCGGGGGTTCTTTGCCCATAGATACACGGACTTGTACGGGCTCCCCTCCATATTGCTGGTCCAGGGCCACCGCCTGATAGGCTGATGCGGCAATTTCATCTTGACTGCGTGGCGCCCCTGTGAAAGGTATGTAGAAAACATGGCGGGTAACTGCTGATCCCAACGTACCGAAGGGAACACTACATGTTATTTATTTATTTTAGAAACCTATATATAGCACTTTACATATATATATATATATACTGCATGTTGAAATGCGTTTTTTTATTACAAAAAAATACATTTCAAATATACTGTATGTCTTTTATATAGTAAAGTGTATATAGTATTTAATACATTTATTTCAATAAATAAATACATATATATATATATATATATAATATATATATATTCACATACATATACACTGCATGTTGAAATGCGTTTATTTATATATTGCTAAATATATGAAAAATATTTTCAAACGTATAGTTTTTTTTTAAATATATTCTTAAGATTATTTTTAACATATAAAAAAGTCATATATATATATACTGCATGTTGAAGTGTGTTTATTTATATATTGCTAAATATATAAAAATATTTTCAAAAATATATTTTTTTTAAATATATTCTTCAGACTATTTTTAACATATAAAAAAGTCATATATATATATATATATATATATATTATATATATATATATATACTGCATGTTGAAATGCTTTTTTAATACAAAATGTATGAGAAATATATATTAAAAATACATTTCAGATATACTATATGTCTTTAAAAATACAAATCTCCATTTTTGGAATTTACAAATATGCATAAAAATATATGTTAAAATGACTTTTTTATATGTTAAAAAAAATCTGAATATATTTAAAAATATATTTTAAAAAATATTTTTCATATATTTTGCAATATATAAAAAATGCATTTCAACATGATATATATATATATATATATATATATATATATATATTTATTATATATATATATATATATATATATATATATTTATTGAACTATATTGAATATGGCCAAAATTGTAGCATTTCAAACACGTCAATATATTTGGGAGGAATATTTTAAAAATATATTTCAAATATATTTTTCTTCCTTGTGGGTATTCAACTAGCCTACCTATATAGATGGATCGAAATGCAGGCGCTTCCTGCTGAACTGGCTGAATTTTGATCCATCTATGGCCGGCTTAAGCTTCATCTGTGTCTACCAGGAATTTGAGGTCCTCCCTCGGCTCACCTGCCACATGTAGAGGATGTAGTGGTACTTGATATTGACGAGGTACTTGTACAGAATGAGGTAACAGTCTCCGCCGTAGAAATGTCCCAACCATTGCTTCTCTACTGGTACCAGTTCCAAATTCTCAATTCTCCAGACCTGTGGGGTCAGAACCCAGAATGTCAAGGCCAAAGTAAAGACTTCTGTTTGCACAGGAGCAAAATACGAGCATTGCGAAAACAACGTCATCAACTGTGGTTGTTGTACATCGGTCGGATCGCAGCTGTCAAATTTCTAGTATAAGTTGTAAAATGGAAGCCGCCATCCGATTGGTTACATTGCAAAACACATTTTTGTCTTAATATTGCATACAGACAACATTGGTAGCAATATGGAAAATAGATACAGATGTTCTCTACTTGATATTCATTGGCAAAAAATGTATTCTCACCTCCGCCTCTTCTCCCGATCCGTCATCAACCATTTTGTGATGCGCGGCTACCTCTGGTTTGGCGTGCATGAGCGTGGCGTCAAACTTCACTTGCTCCACTTTGGCTAAATGAACATACAGTTTAATATGGGGTTATAAATATATTATTAAGGACTGCACCACGGGCAATAAAGTACATCAAAACTGATCTAATCACTCACGGCAGCTGCTGTTCTTAATGGCGTAACCATCAAACATTCAAAAATAATAAATATCGAACAGTGCTACCTGCACTAAAACCAAAACCCAGCATTCTATATGGTATGCTCCCCAGATATAAAAGTGCAATGTGCAAAAAAGTGCAACCTCAAAACCACGTTATATAACCTCCAATAGTGTCCTTTTAAAGTGCATACAATCAATGTGCAAAATATATAATATAACAACCCCATACGATTCATAAATTCCAACCACAACCACCTCGCAACCATGTCCTTCCACACCCAGAGGACGTCAAGTGACGAAAACGCGTAGGGCGGGGCCTGGAGGTGACCTCACCATGTTCCCAGAGGATGTCAAGTGATTAAAACGCATAGGGTGGGGCCTGGAAGTGAAGTCACCACGTTCCCAGAGGACACCAAGCGATTAAACATGTAGGGCGGGGTCTGGAGGTGACGTCACCATGTTCCCAGAGGACGTCAAGTGATTAAAGGCGTAGGGTGTGACCTGGAGTTGATGCACCACTATGTTCCCAGAGGACGTTAAGTATTAAACGCGTCTAGGGTGGACGTTAAGGATGTCAAGTGATTAAAAGCGTACGGTGGGGCCTGGGAGTGACGTCACCAACATTCCCAGAGGACATCAAAGTGATTAAAACGTGTAGGTTGGGCCTGGAGGTGAGGTCACCACGTTCCCAGAAGACGTCAAGTGATTAAAAGCATAGGGTGGAGCCTAGAGGTGAAGTCACCACATTCCCAGAGGACGTCAAGTGATTAAAACGGGTATTGGTGGGGACTGGAGGGGAGGTCACCCACGTTCCCAGAAGACATCAAGTTATTAAAAGCATAGGGTGGAGCCTAGAGGAGATGAGTCACCACATTCCCAGAGGACGTCAAGTGATTAAACTGGTGTAAGGGTGGGCCTGGAGATGAATCACCATGTTCCCAGAGGACGTCAAGTGATTAAAAGCATAGGGTGAAGCCTAGAGGTGAAGTCACCACGTTCCCAGAAGACATCAAGTGATTAAATGGGTAGGGTGGGGCCTGGAGGTGAAGTCACCACATTCCCAGAGGACGTCAAGTGATTAAACGTGTAAGGTGGGACCTGGAGGTGACGTCACCACGTTCCCAGAGGACTTCAAGTGATTAAACGCATAGGGTGAGGCCTAGAGGTGATGTAACCATGTTCCCAGAGGACGTCAAGTGATTAAACGCGTAGGGTGGGGCCTGGAAATGAAGTCACCATGTTACTAGAGGACATCAAGTGATTAAACATGTAGGGTGGGGCCTGGAGGTGATGTCACCACGTTCCCAGAGGACGTCAAGTGATTAAACGCGTAGGTTGGGGGCCTGGAGGTGACGTCACTATGTTTCCAGAGAATGTTAAGTGATCAATATCTGCTCTCAGCTTACCCTACAAGACGTCCATTAAGTTTGCATCCAATTGATGTTCCACTTACCTACTTTACCAACAGTATGCGTCTTCCCCACACCCACAGTCTCGTCCTTTGTAGGCCACTTTTGGAAGAGCTGCTTAAACACAGCAGATTCAGAACCGTCGTTTTCGACCTCCACGTTGGTGGAATTTGGGGTAGTTCTTAGCTTTAATATAATTCTGTGAAAGAAAAAAAACATTGCCTTCTCTGTTGATTTCGATGTTTTAGAAGGAAAATAGAATTGTCTACGGATGACGGCCATCAACAGATTATGACCAAGGCCTATACGGCTGAAATGTGTCAATTTTTACTGTAAGAGTGGACTCCTCTTTCCATGTTTTGCCCGAGGGCCTAGGGTCAATAGGGGGCCCCATGAGATGGCACAGGTACCTTTCATTTGTTTGGGTGTGGTTTGAGATGGCTTTGTTTGGGTGTGGTTTGAGTATGGGGAGGACACAGGGGCCCCATGATCCCCTATTGCCCGGGGGCACCATGAGTTTGTCAGTCCGCCCCTGCTTCAGACAGTAACATATTCAACCAACCTTGGTAGTACTCTGGCCTTAAAGGTCTTCACCATCAAGGTCAGTTGGTGTTTTTCAATATTTATTGAAAACTTTCCAAAATCTGCTATCCTATTCTTGTAATTATTAGATAGTTGGCCTACCAGCATACCAAAAGTCATGGGCAGACCAACAACTTTGTAGCAGGGATTTGTAGTAGGTACATATACTGCATCTCTGGAACATTTCTGTAGAGCTTTTTAGTTGGCTATAGAGTAGCTGCCTTAGCTGGCTACCATGCATCTCTATGGAGCTACAGATACAGTGATGTGCCGTGGTCATCAGTAGGCACATTGGATTAGCTGGTGTCAGGGATCTCCCCCTCGATCCCTGCCCCGCGATGGTCCCCGGCGCAGGCGCACTGCTCCCGCCCTGTACACGGGCACTAGGTCCGGGCCGGCCGCGGCGTTCGAGTTCGCGCATGCGCAGTAGAAAGCCGCGGGCCGCCCGCTGGGCACCAATGGCAGCGCAGGGAGGGATATTTAAATGTCCCTGAGCTGTCATTTCGTTGCCTTCTGGTCTTACCTGCTTCCTGTGATTCTGTACCTGTGCCTTGTAAGTTTATTGACCGGATTGTTTCTTGACCTGCTGATTTCTCCTGCCCAGACCCTTGTTTTGCCTGACCTCTCTCTCCCTGGATGCCCCTCATTAGATCTAACCTCCTGTTGCTGACCTGGCGTGTGACCCGACGATTCTCTGCCTGCTCCCTTGTACCTTACCGTCCTCTACGTTACCAACTCGGCCTGTCTGACTTCGCACTTGCTCAGCCATCCATCCATCCATCCCATCGGGGTCACCCGACCTCCTCACATCTGGCTCTCCCTGGTTGGAGAGCCCCTGGCGAACACCCCTACCACTGACAGGTGTGCTCAGTAGTGGCGACCTGGTCTCGGGGTACTACAAGTCCATCCCCACCATCAGGGGCCCTGGTGAACAAGTACCCTGGGGCTTAGACTCCGCGCTCTGGGCACGCCTGACCAGTGGAGTGCTAGGCGTGCCGCTCGGCGGTCCCTCACAGTACCAAAGGCCATGACTGAGCCTCGAGGAGGACCCTCCCCGATGGAGGAGGTTTGCAGGCACCTGGCTACCCTGACGCAAGCAGTAAACTCTTTGCAGGACAGATGTTTGCAGATTGAGAATCGGTTTCAGGCCTGCACCATATCTGCTCCTGTTTCACAGGCCCCGGCTCCTGCACCTCCGGTCGCAGCAGCCCACGAGCCGGCTCCTGGGCCTTCCGCATCACTCCCTATGGCGGAACCCCGAGTACCCTTACCACCGAGCGCTTCCACGGGGATCGCACACACGCTTTCGGTCATTCCGTGACTCCTGTCTGCTTTACTTTGAACTGCAACCACGGACCTTTTTGACAGAATCGGTGAAAGTGGGGTTTGTTTTCTCCCTGTTGCAGGGTGAACCCCAAGACTGGGCCCACCGACTAAGGGGAAATAATGATCCCCATCTGGTTACGGTTGACAACTTCTTTAACGCTATGGCCATCTTATACGATGACCCACAACGTGCGGGGCGGCCTCGGCCGAGGCCACATTATACGCACTCCGACAAGGTCGGCGAGCGGCTGAGGAATACGCCTCTGACTTTAGGCGCTGGATGGGAGACACTCGCTGGAACGAGTTCGCACTTGTGCACCAGTTCCGTATGGGCCTATCTGAGGCTCTGAAAGACGAGCTCGCCCGGGTAGAGGTGCCCGAGACATTAGAGGACTTGATTGCACTCACCATTAAAATTGACCGTCAGGCTACGGGAGCGCAGATTGGAGAGGTCTGGTCAGGGTCGCGGAAATACCTGGGGGTCATTCCAAGGATCCAGTCAACATACTAGGCCAAACATCCAGAACCTCCGTCTGAAGTTGCTCCCGAACCCATGCAGCTAGGCCTGGCACGGCCTAAACTACCGCCAGAGGAACGCCAGCGCAGACGCTCCAGAATCTGTGTCTCTACTGCGGTGAAGCCGGTCACATGGTACGTTCCTGCCCGCAGAAACTGAGTAAGTTCACCTCATCTTCTTTATCTATTGGCAATATGAATCCGTCCCAATACTTAGTTGTCCCCCTCTCCTTTCAGCTTTCAGAAAGGACCGTGGAGGTGACGGCCATAGTTGATTTGGGGGCATGCAGCTGTTTTGTGGATATCAATTTTGCTCACCAGCAGGGTATCCCCCTCCGTCCAAAGGAGAAGGGGTTTCACATCTTTTTGGCTGATGGGTCCCGGATAAAGTCAGGGGTGGTTAACCAGGAGACCCCTTCCATTGTGACTTCCATTGCCGGTCAGCACCGGGAACTCCTCCGCCTGGATGCTATTGCATCACCCCCTTTTCCCAGTCATTCTGGGGCTCCCATGGTTGCGGGCCCATAACCCCCCAAATTGACTGGGAAACTGGGGTTGTCTCGTTCCCTTCCCCATACTGTCGGGAACTGTGCCGAACTTCGGGCCCGGAGGTCCCCCAGGTCCTTCCTGTGCTCTGAAGGGGATGCCAGCCTAAAACAAGTGATTCCTGCAGCCTATCATAAGTTTCTTGATGTGTTCAGTGAACGGGGAGCAGATACTCTACCCCCCCACTGCCCATATGACTGTCCCTATTGATCTGTTACCCGGTTCTGAAATTCCCTTTGGGCGAATTTTTCCCCTTTCTGAGCTAGAATTAGGGGCCCTGAAGGATTATATTGAGGACAGCCTCCGGAAGGGATTCATCCGTCCTCCACTTCCCCAGCAGGTGCAGGGATCTTCTTTGTAGAAAAGAAGGACAAGACTTTGAGGCCATGTATTGACTATAGGGAGCTGAATAGGGTCACAATTAAAAATCGTTTACCCACTACCACTGGTACCAGAATTATTCCAGAGCTTAAAAGCTGCAGTAGT